GACGCGCCTCTCCGAGCCCAACACGCAGAACTCGTCCAACAGCGCCCGGGCGCGTGGCACTGCCGCCCTTGCGGGCTCTGCGTTGCTCGGGGCAGCCGCAGAATGCGCGCGAGCGAAGGCGCTCGAAGCGGCCGACTCCTTCGCGCCGCTGGAGCTGACAAACCTGGCGCGGGCGCACGCCACATCGGGGACTTGCAGCCCGGCGCTGCTGGGCGCTCCTGCGGATCTTGCGGAGCAGCGCGTGATGCAGTCCCAGCCCTTCAACCTGGCCATCCTGGCGCGGGCCTTCGCACGCCTGGGCTACTACTCTGGGCCGTCGTCAGATGCGTCGGCGGAGCGGGGCATCCAAGTCATGCCGCAGCTCGGAGCGCAGGAGCTGTCCAACATGGCACGGACCCATGGCACTTTGGTTGCGATGAGGGGGTCCTTGGCGGATGCAGCTGCAGAGAGGGCAGTTCAGACTTCAGGCTTACCTCTGCCGCAGCACGTGGCAAACACCGCGTGAGCGCCCGCAGAGATGTACGCCTGGCAGGAGCCACTTATGTCATCACCGGCAGCCTGTGCCGGCCGCAATGTCCAAGGCATGAGATTTGGAGACATGCATGCGCTTCTATGGTCCTTGGGACGCTTGGCTGAGAATTTATGGGTGAGAACAGATTGTGTTGATTCGACGAATAGCGCAGAAGGAGAGACTCCCCACTAAACGGCGACTTCCCAATGATGACTTAGGGCGCACTGACCTTCATTCCACCAGACAAGTTGTGTGCCAGGAGAGATGCGGGGCCCTGACCTCGTTAAAACAATCGCGTGGAGTGCACACCAACTGTTGGCATGCACAACTTTTGCTTGACGGATTTCCAAAACATGTGTCGAAAGGCAAACATGCTCACCAGTGGTCCTGCTCGGGAACTGACGGCTTTGTCTCAGGCATGCGATGAATTCTTGGCGTTGTTCCCTAGCATGCCCTCCCCAAGTGCCTGACCAAAGACCAGATGTCCAACCGAGAGCTGAGACGTCACGTCCCTTTCTACGGTCAACCAACTTCAACTTCAACTTGAGGATCCTTCAAACTTCCGCCAGCCTCAGCTTTCCTCTCCAAACCGGGGAGCTCACCCCCAAATTCTCCCCCCGGCCTCCCCCCGAACGCCTCAAAGGCCATGGCCTGAGCTTCGGCGATCTGTGGCGCACCTTCGAGGCCTGGGCCGAATTGGACGTCCGGGCGGACGTGCTGGACCTCGGGGTGTTGCTGATGTCCTGCGAGAGGCGCAGAGACGCGGAGAAGGAGCAGCAGGCGAGGCTTGCGGGGTGAAGCCTGGTTGTGATGTCTCCAAGGGGAACCGCCTTGAAGGATGGGCCAAGAGGAGGGGCAAATGTGGCGGGTGTCTCCAGAACCTAACTTAAGATGTGTTTTTTTTGGGATCCCTTCGGTTTCCCTTTGGTTTGCCGTTGAGGCCACACAAGAAGGGTGGCCTAAAAAAGAGATGCCCATGGTGGAAGCCTTTCTTAGCGAAGCGATGTTGGAAGACTGGTTCAGTGAGGTCTTGGAGGTAGGGTTGCCCCTTTGAGGAGGCATGGTCAAATGGCCCCCAAAAGTTCAAAAGTGAAGGATTTGTGTTGGAGGCGTGCCACACTTGTATGGAAAGAAACAAGGGTATATATATATATATATAGAAGCACAACTCTATACCATTGCCTTTTTGGCCATTTCAAGATTCGTTTTCTGAGGTGCGCCAGACTCCACTTGCCTTCTGGCCATTTTGGGCCCCTTTTCCTTCATTTTCCCTTGACCAGTGCCTCCCTCGCAAGGTCTGGCGGCGCATCTGCGAGCGCGCGCCGCTGCGGCGGGACATGCAGGAGATCGTGGCCGGGGCCACGAGGCAGCGAGTGAGGAAGGAGGCCTTCATCGACAAGGAGCGGATTTCCCTGGGTTTCCTTCCAGCTTCCCCAGAATCAGCTCCTCTTTTTTTTGATTTTTTTGGGTCCCTTTGTTTTCCACTAACCAGGCAAAGAAGATACAAAGGGTTGCGTTTCTGGGTTTGCTGTGGCAATTTTGGTTGAAGCTTCCGGTGGACATCAGCAAGACACGAAAGGAAATGAATATGTTTTGCCGCTGTTTGAGGAGGTTAAATGAACATCATAGCCCGATAGGGCGCTTGTCAAAAGACAGCTCTCCGCCGCTTTGGGACTCAACACTCAGGAGCTGCATTTTGAAGGATGCAGGGCTCAAAGGTGGTTCTACCACCTGGACTTTTGAGGGTTGTAGTAAGGCCTGCAACCTTTACAAACATCTTAGTAGAACCAAGTGTGAAAAGCATGCGGCGGCTCAGGAGCGTGTGTCCTTGGACTGGGCGGGAGCGCAAGTGGCCAGACACGGCGGACATGCCCAGCACAAGCTGGCCATGCTGGTGCAGTATGCACTCTGGCAAACAAGAGGGTTGTGTTTCCAAACAAAGAGAGAACCCCACGGGTTTCCCTTTTGCTGTCGTTGGTTTCCTTTCGGTTGGCTTCCTTGTCGTTTTCCTTACACCATCCAAAACGGGTCGGGCCGCTGGACCGTTTGGGTTCCACCTGATTTTTCCGTTCCTTTGGCTTTTCGTGGGAGCGGGGGTGCTTGTTGCTGTGCTTTGTGGTTTCAGGGCCAAACTGGACTTTGGAGTTGAAAGGGCACGCATAGAGGAGGTCTCTAGGAATGGGTGACACGCTATGAATAGCGCGGAGCACCCTCAATGGGTGGTGGACAAAAACGCCCCGTTGGTATTGCAGAGGACGAAAACACTCATAGGCTTCGGTTCGATGCGGCTCGACTGCGGCTGGCGACCATGGTTTGACCCCGTGGTAGGACACCCAAGCCCGCTGGCTAGGATTGGGCTGTTGGGTTTGCTTGGGAAGTTGAAAGCTGAACTCTACTGGTGACCGGCTAGAGGCCAGCGGCTTTGGAACCCTCGCAGAGAACCAAGCTAAGGCCTACGGGAGGCTCCTCGCCCCTTAGAAGCGACCTTTCAGGTTCCTTTTTTCCCTGACTTCTCCCCGGTCATTGGGCCGAGGGCCCTTGTAACAGGAGAGCAGCTCCGGTTGGTTTCGTTTTCAGCTGGCAACAGGTCGAGGCGCATTTTGACGGCACGGCCTCCGACGCAGCGGAGGCGGTGATGCAGTCAGTGGTGGACTTTTCGAGACAGAAGTTCAACTACTGGCTGAAGGTCGCAGGCAGGTTTTCGGGTTTCCTGCTCATCCAAGGATATGCCAATGTGATGGGAATTGGGCCCACAGGGTTAAGACGAGCGTCTTGTAATTGGGGATTTGTTATGTCAGGCCTTGAAAATAATTGTAGATTTGCGGAAGGATTGAAATGGGCATGCCTCAGAATAGGAGGACCTTTGTTGGGGCGGTTTTTCAGCTCTTGTTTTCGGGACACCCATGTTGACAAGCACCCAAATCCAAGGATTCACCACAAACGTCCATCCATGTCATGTAAACACGGCAGCCAAAGATTGGTGTTTGCGAGGCTCAGGGTAGAAGTTGGGGAAGGATTCCTCTGGCTTCCCTTTAGCAGTGACCGATTCCTGCCATTGAGGGTGTTTTCGGAGCAATCCTGACTGCGACGGTTGACAAGTGGGCAGCTGCCCCTTGACGCAATTCATGTTATGATTGAGTCCTTGGAGAGTTTTCTCCACCGAATTTCTAGTGTGGGAAGAAGACCATGTGCCTTTTGGGAGCATGCTCTCGCCAAAGTTGTGGAACAAGTTGCGGACTTTGGGCCAATCCACAGAACCAGTGAGCAGATAGAGAGTGAAGCCCTGGTATTCTTAGACCCAACACTTCGAACCAACCCCAGAGGTAACCTCTTCTGCCTTTCGGGTCACGGGTGCGTGGTGTGGCCTTTTTTTAGGCCAAAGGCTTCTCAAGGGAACCTGAAAAGGGGAAACCCATCCCCGTGAACGGTAGGCCCAGAGCAAGTCTCTTGACATTCTGGTGCCTGGCAAGCTGGAGATATGGAAAAGTTCCTTCCGTCGGTTAGTTCCTCCCTTCAGCACACGGCTGGGACGAGTTCCCTCCGTTTCTTGGTTCCTCTTCACCTCTGAGCCAGTCGATCGAAACAAAAGTTGGCAGAGCTTGCAAGAGCTCCTCTTTCAACCTCGTAGGAAACGCGTCTTGGGGGGCCGCCTTTGGGGTTACGTGAAGTCCAGAAGACCATCCGTTCCCTCCCAAACATGGACGTGCACAGTCTCCACTTGAGAATGTCGGTGAGAGGGCACCAGATCCCTTGTGTTTTCTTCTTCACCGTTTTCAGGTTGGCCTTTCCGAAACGGAGGTCCCCAAACCCCGGGGCTCCCGGGCCATGGATCGAACTGCAGGTGACGCGAAGGCCTCCTTGATCCAGGCGGTGCTGCAGCGGCTGTCGCGCGGAAAAGCCGCGGCTTTTCCCGGAGAAGTGCGGCTGGAGATGGGCGCCTACGTGGGCTTCACCACCCTGCGCCTGGCACAAGGTGGACTGGTGCTGAGCCTCGAGGCTGGGATGATGGAAGAAGATGAAACAACGACGTCGAAAATGTATCGGAAAATCGGCGATGTCTCTTGGAATTTGTCCCTTGTTTGCTTTGCCATTTGGGCTTGCCATTTAGGTTTCCTCTTGGGGTTTCGTTTGGTTTCCATTTAAAGCCCCAAAACAGGGTCTCCGTCCAAAAACCGATGTACCGCTGACTGTACCAGTGACGAGCAGAAGGGCGAGTTGACACACCTTCGCGTTCTCCGCTCGAGATTTGAACGACGGATTTTGAATCATGCAAGTCGAAATGAACTCGGCAAGCCACTTCGACACTCGGCAGCTTTCCAGTTGTACGCTTTTGAGGACATTTTCATATGCCCCACTCCCTCAGGCACAGGCACCCTCGTTCCTCAGCTGGCGCTTCGTGCCGGCAAATTCCTTCATGACCAATGACGTGGGGTTAGGGCCAGGGAATCCCCTTGCAAAATTCTAAAGTAGCCATACACCAGGGTGATGGCACAATCCCCTTTCTGAGGGGAATGAAGCCGAAATGGCGAAACCGTTCCAACTGGTTTCTAAGAATCCCCGCAACTTTGATTCAGGGTCCCCTTGAATTGGTGGTTTGGACAAAAATCAGGGGAAGCTTATTGGTCCAAGTTTCACCCCACTGCAATCTGTAGGGAATCCCGGTTGCAGCCCGCTGTCCACATGGGTGTGTCACTTTTTAGGGACCCTTGCCCCCCCGCAATTACCAACAAATGGTCGAGTTCCCTTTAAACCAACCAACAAGGGTGCCGAGCCTCAAAAAGCCAAACTCCTCCTGTCCAGACCGCAGGTGGACCCCTTGCACGTGTGCGTGGCCCGTCACCTGCTGAACCTGGGTCGACGTGCCCACCTGGCGGAGGTATGTAGTGGCCAGGCGCGCGGGAGGGGGGCACCCACAAAACATGGGTTTTTGTTTTGTTTTGTTGTTTGTGGTGATTTCTAATTTTAATCAACTCGGAAAAGGGCAACTAAGGCAATTTTCGCAACCAGTTGGGCCCCTGCAAGCGCAAATGCAGTGTTCAGGTGGAAAGTTGGGTGGGTGAAGTGCAATGGTCTCAGCAGATTAAGAGCACCGAACCTATGAGTTCTGCTTCTCCCCATTCATTTTTGCGATGGACCAGACTCCACTGCAGAATACGTTTGTTTGGAGTTGGAACCGCACTGGGGGTCCTGCTTTGTTCAGCCTCTTTGGCACCTCCCGCTAGCTCGTGTCGGCGTGGGTAGTCAGTGACTGTCCCTTACCCTCTGACTGGGTAAAAGGATAGACAGGACGCCCATTTCTCACATTTTATACAGCACCCACTAGCCACTTCGCGGATTTGGCTCAAAATGGAGCACCTCCCCAAAAGAAAAGCAATGTGTGACTTCCTCTGGTTCGATCATGCTCGCAACGCATATCCGAAAGGAGGCGAGCATTTGATAGCGATTGGGGATATAAAAGGATGGTGCGCCCAACAATATTGACGCAAACCCACTTTTCCCATGTTCTCGGGATTAAATGCTTGTCGGGAATCACATTTTTTGATAGTCAGGCACGATTGCCTAGCACCAAAGGAACCCATTCGGGTACGTCTCAAAATAGGATTCGGAGCCCCCAACATGGGCTTCGGTTTCATGTTTGGTTTTCCCACAGCAGCACCTTCCGATTCTTATTCAAATTCGGTGTCATTCTTGGTTTCCTCAAAACCAAACCATCCAAGGGCACCAAGCCTCAGAAACAGACACCTAGATAACCAACTTGCTGCTTTGTTCAGCCACCGGTTGCCGGTTTTTTGGGGTAAAGTGCATGGAAAAAAAAAAAACGCAACTGGCGAGCCAGGCAGACCCATTTGTTTGAAGCCATTCAGCGCACTCGGTCGATAGGTGAGGGACCTGCTGCCGGGTGTGCTGGAGAGCTTCGGTGAGGCAGCGGCTGGTCTGGTCTTCATGGACCACCGCGGCACGCGCTTCCACGAGGAGAGCCCCCGAAAAACTCGCCTCGGGGGCCTCGGGGGCCGGTCGTTTCAAGGGGGGGGGGTCGTGACTTTGACTCCTTTTTGGGGGTGTTCAGGGTCAGACAAATGGCTGGTGGTATCCGTTGTTCTCCTTTGGGATGTGACGCTAAGTATAGAAGTAGGACATCGGCTCCAAGTAGGAGCCCTTGGTGGCATTTGGTTCGCCCTTCACTCGCTCTCACCAGGGAGGATAAGTTGCTTACTGAATGTCTATCCCTGGATAATTCAGGGTATAGTAGCTGCTAGCCCCCCCCCAAATCACAACCCCACTTGCAGGCCAAATTTTGGAGGCCCATGGAACCTGCCAAGCCCAAGCTTGGGGACGGTGGGCGGGGTCCCTCGCCCTAATTCGGGATGGCTCCGCTTTTACATGTTGTTGAACACCCACAGAACGAATCCCCTTTTGGCGAATGACATTGCTTCAAGCGTTGGATGTCTTGGTGGACACTGTCCACCAAGGGTGTTCCTGATCTTGGCACTGCCCTCTGGTTTGTTCTGAAGAGAAGGACTAGATTTGCTCCCCCTGTTTATCACTTTGCGTCTCTTAGGATGGTTCTCGCCAAGTCAACTGGCTCGTGGGTCGTTGGACATGTTGGCGCAATCTCATCGTCGGGTGTTCCAAGACAGTTCTCAAGATTGGAGTTGCCAATGCAACCAGGTACAAGTCTGGTTGCCATTTGGGTATGTGTCAAACTAGGGCCCCCCCAGAATGGATATCGGTTTTCCTTGTGGTTCCCGTTAAACCAACCTAAAAAGGACCAACAAAGCACAGAAAGACATGGGTAAGGAAGCAAAGGCGACATTCAAGCCGTGGTCCCTTGCCAGTTTTAGGAGCTACGCCTCTTAGAGGCCACAAGGCTTCTGGCCGTCCCTGCGCAGCTGCTCTGCGACAACGTGCTTCACCCTGGGGCTCCGGTCTTCTTGTGGCGCGAGAGGCAGCGGGTCACCGTGTATTCGTTGCAGGACTGCGGCAACTGAATCTGAAACGGCCTGAGCGAAAGGGGGGGGTTGCCCAGACTTCGCATTCTAGAACCTGAAGTGCCGAGTGTGAGTGAGCTTCCTTCTGTTGGGCTGATTTCCATCGCAACCAGGCTCAAGATGGTATCTTGGTTCAGGGCCAATCAGGAGGTGGTTGCAAAACTAGGGACGAGCCCCAACATGGGTTCTCGTTTTCACCAACCCCAACAAGGAACCGTGCCCAGCAAAAAGGACATGCCCACATATGTGAAGTCCGGTTCTGCAGACCAAGCCTGGGAAACAGAACTCTCGCTAGGAGTTCGGCCCTGAAGAGATCGAGGATTGGATGGCCCTGGAAGAGTATCGGGGGTGCGCGACCAAAACGGGGCTGCTGCGGATGTGGCCAGAGGATGAGATCAAAGAAAGTGTTGGAATACGTCACACTTTCAAACTGAGAAGCACAAAGTGTTGGCGTCTGACAATGTCAGACATTTCAGGAAAGAGCAATTCAAGAGAGAACTGATTCCCCCTTATCATTATGGTAACCTGGCAGTGTCTCGTGTCTATCCGCTTGTCGAATCTATCTACTACGTATCTATCTAGCGAGCTATCCATGTTTCTAATCTAATCCATTTAATCTAGTCTAATCCAATCTACTCTAAACTATTCATCTATCCATCGATCTATCCATTCATCAATCCACCAATCTATCAGTTAATCTAGCCATAAATCTATCCAGCAATCTATTCATCAATGTATCAATCAAGCAAGCAATCAATCAATCCATCAGTGGGTCTATCGATCTATCTATCGAATCTAATCCAATCTTATCCTATCCTGTCATATCCTATCCGATATCCTATCCTATCCTATCTGATAATCTATCTAATCTATCAATCTATCTATCTAATCGAATCAAATCAAATCAAATCAAATCTAATCTAATCTAATCTAATCTAATCTATCCATCTCTCCATCTCTCCATCTCTCTATCTCTCTATCTCTCTATCTCTCTATCTCTCTATCTCTCTACCTCTCTATCTCTCTATCTCTCTATCTCTCTATCTCTCTATCTCTCTATCTCTCTATCTCTCTATCTCTCTATCTCTCTATCTCTCTATCTCTCTATCTCTTTATCTCTCTATCTCTCTATCTCTCTATCTCTTTATCTCTCTATCAATCAATCTATCTATCCTAATCTAATCTAACCTAACCTAATCTATTTCAATCTAATCTTATCCTAATCTTATCTATCTATCTATCTATCTGTCTATCTATCTATCTGTCTATCTATCTATTTGTCTATCTATCTGTCTGTCTGTCTGTCTGTCTGTCTGTCTGTCTGTCTGTCTGTCTGTCTGTCTGTCTGTCTGTCTGTCTGTCTGTCTATCTATCTCTCTCTCTCTCTGTCTATCTATCTATCTATCTATTTATCTATCTATCTATCTATGTATCTATCTATGATATCATCTAATGTAATGTAAATCTAATCTGATTTAATGTAATCTAATGCAATCTTATGTTACCTTGTCTTATTTTACTTTATCCCATCCATCCATGCAGGCATGCATCCATCCAGGCACCCATGCATCCATCCAGGCACCCATGCACCCACCCACCCACCCACCCACCCACCCACCCACCCACCCACCCACCCACCCACCCATCCATCCATCCATCCATCCATCCATCCATCCATCCATCCATTTATCCCTCTATCCGTTTATTCATTCATCCATTTATCAAATATTCCATCCATCCATCCATCCACTCATCCATCCATGCATCTATCTATCTATCTATCTTTCTATCTATCTATCTATGTATCTATCTATCTATCCATCTAATCGAATCTAATCTAATCTAGTCTAGTCTAATCTAATCTAATCTATCTATCTATGTATCTATCTATCTATCGAATGTATCAATTGATCCATCCATCCATCCATCCATCCATCCATCCATCCATCCATCCATCCATCCATCAATCAATCAAGCAATCAATCAAACAATCTATCGATCTATCTATCTAAGTAGCTATGCATTTATGTATCCATGTTTGTGTGTCTGTCCTGTCTGTCTCTGTCTCTGTCTCTGTCTGTCTCTGCCTGCCTGTGTCTGTCTCTGACTGCCTGTGTCTGTCTCTGTCTGTCTCTGTCTGTCTCTGTTTGTCTCTGTCCGTCTCTGTCTGTCTATCTGTCTCTGCCTGCCTGCCTGTCTCTGTCTCTGTCTCTCTCTCTCTATCTGTCTCTGTCTGTCTCTGTCTCTTTCTCTTTTTGTGTCTTTGTGTCTGTGTCTGTGTTTGTGTCTGTGTCTGTGTCTGCCTCTCTCTGTCTCTGTCTCTGTCTCTGTCTCTGTCTATGTCTCTCTCTCTCTCTCTCTGTCTCTGTCTCTGTCTCTCTCTCTGTCTCTGTCTCTGTCTGTCTCTGTCTCTGTCTCTGTCTCTGTCTCTGTCTCTGTCTCTGTCTCTGTCTCTGTCTCTGTCTCTGTCTCTGTCTCTGTCTCTGTCTCTGTCTCTGTCTCTGTCTCTGTCTCTGTCTCTGTCTCTGTCTCTGTCTCTGTCTCTGTCTCTGTCTCTGTCTCTGTCACGTCACCTAGCACAACCGTCTATCCATCTGTCTATCTCAGTACATTAGTCGTGTGGACTTGTTAAAAGGCAGGCTGATCACTTGAACATGTAATGTGTATTTTGGTGCCGACACTGCAAGACCAGGAGGCAAAGGGTCATAAACATGCGCCAATGCAATTATACACGCATCTCCAGTAATCTCAAAACATGACAATAGGGTTGGACATGCTACCCATGTTCTTATTACTTCATCATGTGGTGCTTTCTCATTCGTACATCATCTGCAGGGCACGCTTCTTTCTGGCTGTTTCGTGATGTATTGCATGTCTCAATCCACATTGACGAAAGGCAAACGTATGGACGATGAGATCTCCAGTGCAGGATCTCATCAATGCAAACAGTTTTTCCAGGGTGTGTGGGGTTTGTTTGGCGCAACATGGCAGACCCCCACAAGGGAAGCACCTCAGAGAAAAAACCCGGGTTCCGCGTTTTCGAGATTTTGACCAGAAAACATATGCTCAAAGTCTGCTCCCTCCCAGCGTCAAATCGGAGTTTGTTCGTTTCGCTTTAATAAGCCACAGCATCCAGACGCCCTCCGCAGGCTGCACGAAGCTGAGAGAGCATTGACCATGATGGATTCTGGAAGGTTGGCTTGAAGAGGGCTGGGTTACTGTCATACCATACGTATGGACGTATGGCACGAACCCAAAGGGAATAGTGCCATTTGCGTTTCATTCGCGATCAGCCTCTCGTTAGATCCGAGAAGCAATCTGCGGCCGCAGGTGAAGACTGCGGCAAGCGCCGTTCTCAGCCGCGAGAGAACTGGTTAAGGCCCCGAGGCATGGGTGTGTCTTAGAGGGTAGTCTTTTGCTGGGTTGCGAAGGGAAACCAGAACACCACCGTTTTTGTCTGGTTGTACTATTTCAAAAAAGCTCCCACGTTGCGTACCAACAGAGGTCCACCAAACCACCTTTTGGCTTGATCTAAGTGTAGCGGCACCAAGAGCTATCAGCTGTAGCTTTCAGCTCTTTAGACAAGTGAGAACTCCACCCCTATCAGAGGACCCAATGTCGTCCAAGCGGGTGAGTGCTTCTGAACATGGGATTCCCTTTTGGTTGACTTTTGAAGGGACACAAGCAAACCGTTGCCATTTTCGGGGACCCATTTGAGAAAGGCTGGTGGTGAGAGTGGCTCAGTCCGTTAGGCTGAACGCTGCCGAGCAGGCGGCAAAGGAAGCAGAGCAGCTCCATGAACGTGCGCCCAGTCGATTCGTTGATTCCCAGTGCAGAGGGTTTCAGGCCGTTTCCAGGTTTGGTCTCGGAGGGGAACGCACCCGGAAATCTCCGGTTGACAAGGCTTTTTGTCTATTAAGTCAACCAGAAGTGCACCTCCTTTTTTCCCGTGGCCACTGGTCTTCTGAGGGTGTCATGGCTTCTGCACTCTTGTTGGCTGTCTAGTTCCACGCCTGATTTGTTTCGTAGCAAACCTAAACCCCTGCGAAATGGCCGAACCCGCCAGTCCTACTCGTGGCTTGCGAGGGCAGTATTTCTGCCTAGATCTTGAGCAACATGCAATGGGCGAATTGAAAACCGAAGTAGCATAGGCATAGGTCAGTTTCATCTGCATGTTTCATGAAGACAACAAGATTCTAGGGATCTACCGCTTTGGAGTTGCTTCTTCCCTTGTTTCTGCTGGTCAGTTGTTTGGTTCTTCCTTTCCTTGTTCCGCAAGGGGAGGAATCGTTCCTTTCCGCGGTCTGGACTCCATGCTGGTTGGCTAAGTCATGCTGCGCCTGGTGAACCCTTCTGTTTCTTCAAACGGGGTTCCCTTCGACATCAACAACCAGTCATTTGGCACCAAATCCAAGAGGCGGCTCACATGCATCGTTGTCCTTCCTCGGTTGCAGGGTGGGGGGGGGGGGAGGGAATATGCGAAAATGAGTTGCATCACTTGAGATTCCAGACAGTTGGATTCATGCTGGTTCCCTCTTTAATACTCGCACCAGCATGTCCAACCACAGACTGAACACCCCGCAGACTTGGCCAGGTCTCGCGGGTAAGAAGGCTGAGGCAGGTTTGATTTCGGGCAGGGAAGGCAGACGAAGCAAAGGCCGTTCTCAATCCAAAAAATCCATGCCTTGGAAACAAAAGGGGTTGCAGCTTGTGACGGGATTTCCCGATTTGGGCCAACCTTCAAGTTTGAGCACAGATTCCGGCCTCGACATGAAGAGGTTCGCCCGGCAAAGAAGTCACAGGGCTTCAAAAAGGGCAACGTGTCCAGAACATTAGTGCGAATCCATGGCGCCTGGAGGCATCCATTGAATGTCTTTCTGGCAGGTTTCGAGGGATCTATTCAATGCGTATGGCAGGGCTCGCGCTGGATCATTCTACAGGATTGTATCAGCTTCCAGGTTGCCAAGTGACGGACGCTGGTTTCAGCCTCTTAAGTCCGC